TTTTTAAAATTTGGTAAATAAAGTAATGAGTATTAAACGTATTTTAGAGTTTAGAAAAGTATGAGTAATACTGTAGGGCACTTTGGAAAATATCAGTTCATTAAAGCATCTATTCGGAAAAGGAAGTTTCTTCTATTATAAAAGATGTGTTTTAAAGGATCCTGTGGAAGAGAGAGTGAAGGTAGCTCTGTAAGCAAACTTAGTTCTCACCTATAATTTTTTCCAGGTGTTTAGAAGTTACAGCAGAAATATATCCTAAGGCACTCTGCAGCAGTTTCTGGGGTAAAGAATTGGTAAAAAAAAAAAAAAAAAAATCTTTAAAGCAAAATGCATGGTTTTGAACATATCTGCTCATCTAGTTTGATTTGGCATGCGATGATGTATCAAAAAGCACCTTATGGAGTACCTCACCCAGTTAGGAAAAGACTTATGTTTTTCAGCGTGCGTTATTGCGTGCTTCTTGACATCATTTGTAATGTCCTATATTGCCTGGCTGCCCCTAGGAGTTGTTTACTCTTCCTAATAGTAATTCTCTCTGTGATTAAAAATAACAAAAAAAACCTCAAACCTACAGACACATAAGTAGGATTTGCTTGGATGATTTTTATGGCACTTAAAATGCCTCATCTCTTGTCTTTGCTCTGTGATCATTTAAGAGATGTCATTTTGGGTTGAATGGAAATACACACGAAGGATTCTCAGAGCAGAAGTGAAGAGGATACAGACCTTGTCCAGAGAAGCTTTCTTCTGCCTTTAAGATAAAGGTGCCTAGCAGTGTATCTTCGTCTGAGATTTATCACCTGCTGACAATTGTTACTGGCTACAGAAAGCAGTCTCTTAGCAAAGCAATGGCATTTTTCTGGTAGGATATGTAAATCTATTACTCACCTGAGTTATACAAGAAGTCATTTTATTAAACTGGAAAATTGTTGTTGGGCTTCCCAGTGGAACCAGGTTCATTTTTTTGATGAGCGGTCTCAGAAGTAACTGCTACAGCTTTCTCCTATTTATTTAGCTGAAGTGTTCTTTTAAGTCATTTTACCAGAAATCTCATTAATGATTGGAATTTTTATGAGTGAGACTTTGTGCAATAACACGCAGGGGTTTTATTTTAATTCTCTCTGACTAGAGATGGGCTCGTTTTGGAGATGGTTGTGAAATACTATGTTGGTTATATATTGAAGATCTTTACCATAGGTAGACTTGCCCCTGGTTATTCCTCTGCTCCAAAATAGTGTCAGCCTCTCCAACTTGCTCTGCCCCTCACCTTTGGGGCGAGCTGACTTGCAGGTTGCTTGCTGCCTCGGCACAGAGGGAGGATAATGAAGGTCATAAAAGGAGGAAAGCCAATGTGATGAGGGCAAGAAGCTGTCAAGAATGAAGGGGACTGGAGGGAGAGAGAGACCTTGGCTGGTGATAGGAGAGGCGAGGGGGTGTTGGGTGCTGGGTGTTCAGGGCTGGGGGGCTCCTGCTGCCCTCGGCAGGGCAGCTCATCTCGGCACGGTGGGGTTACCTTGCTGGGGGTGCGGAGGGAGTGGTGCGGGGCCGTGGGAGGAGTGAGCCCTTCTGCAGCTGTCACGGGCCCCTGATGAATCACCATCCCTTCACTTGGCCGCCGTCCCCCAGTGTGGGGAGGAGGGAGAGAGACCTGCCGCGGAAACAACAGTTGAGCCTTCAATTTAAAGACAATATGCCTTTCATGGGCACCACACTCTCCTCCGCTCCTTCTGGGTTTAAAGGACAGAATTGTCATCTGTGATGATATCCCTTCTTTAAATTAAGGCTTTGTAGTAAAGCAGAGTAATAGTGGCTTCTGTTTGTTTCCTTGGTTTACAGGTGCAGAAGTCTCATACCAGTTCAGATGTTGCTGTTCCTTCAAGCTGCAGGTAAGGATTTGATTGCAAGTTGCTACTTTTCTGCAAACCCTTTATGCTTTTTTTTTTTTTAACTTCAGGTGATAAGTAAATATTTATTCTGATTTTCCTAATTAAGCAGATGACTAAGTGCTGCAGCGTGGCTTTTATATGCATGCAAGAAAATCTATAAACCACAAGCATATATACTTTTCCACTAAATTGTTTGACTTTATACTAGCTTTTCAAATTCATTGTGATACCATCCTTCATGTGCAGATTAGTTTAGGTAATTAAATATATTTGTGTTTAGAATGTGTGATAAAATCTCAGTTAAAATGTAAAAACTTCATAGCTGAAATGACACTTGGGCTTAAGGATATTTATACCATTACTGTGGGTAGCATTTAAAAATTAATTTCAATAGTCTTTAAAACAGCCTAAGCATTTCTTTTGAACTGAAAAATTACTGGTTCAAATGCCTTGCAGGCACAGTAACCTATGAAATTACTACAGGGGGCAATTACTTAGACGGAATACAAAAGTTCTAGGTATAAAGAAGCAGAGGGACGGCGCTTCGGTCATGCGCTTCCCTGACATCCACAAAGCAATATGTCGTGTTGGGGGTGGCTATTGGCCTTTTTATGTAAGGCTGTTAAAAACACAAATCATAAATATTCAGCTGCTTCAGACTGTGTACTGTATAAACGTTTAATTTTTGCTTTGGATCAGAATTGCTCTCATCTTACTTTGACTAAGCGACAGCTGCTGAGGCACAGCAGAGTGCTAAGGCACTGACGCCTATATGGATTCACTGTATGTTGGTCATATCCCTTTTCAATTTGGCACGCTTTATGTAATCCAAAAAGCAAACAAGTGAGCAGACATAATAATGTTTTAATGCTGCATTTGTTTCAACGGAAACAGAGGAACAATTAAGTACTTTGCCAGAGTAAACACATACATCAGGAATATCTCATTCCCTGTCAGTAGATGATAGGTTTCCACCATTGCTTCAAGTGTTTTATTTGGTTTGGAGGCCCATTATATTGCCACTGAGTGGTAAATCTTGAAAAAGCAGAGTGTTAATGTGTTGTTAAGAGAATATATGTCTTTGTATATTGGTGATTCTGTCTTTGTATATATCTTGAAAATACAAGGTGACATGAATGTTCAAGGTACAGTACTTTGTATCTAAGTTTTACTACATTAGAAGCTGCAAAAATAATTACGGTAGCTGGTCAGTCGTGTGTGGGGGCACAGAATGAGTTTAGCACTAGAAAAGATCAAGCTGGGATGAGATGTTCACTTTCACTAAGCATTTTCAGGATGTTGACTAATAGTGGGCTGAGTCTAATATAGATAATTCCTCTGTAATCTGTGTTGAATACATCCCTAAAACTAGTTACGTCTTGTTTTCAGGTCTATGGAAATGCAGGATCTAGCCAGCCCACATAGCCGACTAAGTGGTAGTAGTGAATCTCCCAGTGGTCCAAAACTTGATAACTCCCATATAAATAATAATTCCATGACACCAAATGGCACAGAAGGTGAGGCACCGTTTTTTTAGCATTTCATAGTTTGGTTTTTTTGCCTTCTTGCACTAGTGTTCTTGCAGCCAGTAAGCTATACAGAGAAAATGTTTTACTATTTTAGGTGTTCTGTGTTTATGTAATATGGTGTGTAGAGCCAATGTTCAATGTTTATCATTAGTTACTATTATCAAGTTTCAACAAGAGCTTTCATTCCAGGTTTATGTTCTTTTCATGGAGTTTGAATAGACTGAGCAGGTAGTATGTACAGAGCTTAAAAAAAACCCCTCCTTCAAACATGAAAGAGTGGTTTAGTGATGGGGGCGAGGGGAGGAAGGTGTTTACAATTGTTGTACTACAAACCACAGTCTTTCAGTCTTTTTCACTGTTTTGGTATTTCTTTATGTTCTCACTTTTTGCAAGCTCCTAAGGCTATGAAAGTTTTGTCAAGTAGGCTAATAAAACCAAGTGCTGAAATTTCCTTGGGCTGGCTTGTTGCTCTGATGGAGTGGCCAAAATTCAAGCAGGTGTAGTAATTCAATGGGGTAAACTGATACCTATTTTTCAAGAAGCAGTCAGGCAGTTGGTAAGTTATGTTTGTTCTCGGTATAATACTAACAGCAGAAAAACTAACAGCTTTGCCAGTAAGATAATGCTTATATAATATATAAAACAATACATATAATGAAACACAGAAGGCTTTATATGATAAGCAACAAAAATACTCTTCTCTGTAACATTTCTATGGCAATAGCAGGAAAGATTGTTCATTTGGCTGGCTCTGAACAGAGATTTTAGTACATTTCTAGCAAAGAGAGTCACACAGCTTCAATATTACTGTTCTGTTTAAATGTACAGCTAAACAACCATTGTAACAAAGATATGTCTTTTGCCTGTAAGAACTGGGACATATTAGTGCTGTAAGACTGATTAGGATTATGGACATGCATTGCATTCTTCCAAGAAAGGCACATGTCAATCAAACAGATGTCATCCCCCCTCAATTCCCCAAACGTCTCTGTTATCCATTCTAATTGGAGTCTTCTGTAAAGGGGAGGGTTTATGGGTTATCAGATTAACAGGCATTTGTGCCAGAGTTGTGTATAATTTACTTTTTGCTATTGCTGTAAAAGTGTTGCTGCAATCAATTTTTGAGCCATTAAAACAAACAAACAAACAAAAACTAGTGATTTTTAAAAGAATAAATAAAGTGCTTAATGTGTTAATGTATTTTAGGCAGAAAAATACCTTATGTCCACAGATGAGTCTTATTCCTTTTTGGGTATACTATACCTGGGTATATTATTACATTTTTTCTATCACATTATCAGGTATATGCCGGTTCTGGTGTGGGATAAAATTGTTAGACCTTTTAAAATTAAAATTTCTCTAAGTAATGAAAGCCTTTGCTGTACACTTCACCAGCTTTTGCACCTTCTGTGTAACTTGAAGGTTCTTTAGTAGCCCAAAAATAGGGAGTGTTCCGTGAGACACTGAAAGACACTCGCCGTCTGGCTTGCCTTTTTGTTTGAAGTAGTTGTTGTGGGCAGGCATGCGCTCCGAAAAATGGGGCGCTTAACATTACTTTGTCAGGGAATGAGGTAGATGTTGTATCTACTCATGCACTGACCTCAGGTAGCAAATAATTTTGGAAATAATGTCACAGCTTCTAGGTAGGAGTTTGTTGGAGAAAGTAAACTAAACAGTAACCTGTTTATCTGATACTAGAATTTTAAAGTTCAAGCTTATTAATTTGGGGTGAATTCTTACCCAGAAAGCTATGACTTGGAATACCTGCTTACCTTCTGTGACAAAGCCAAATTTTTTATTTTTGTTTGCCATTTTCCCTCAGGTGACATGACCCTCCTCAGCATGGCAGACTGGCTGCTAAGTCCTAGCACCCAGAGCCCCACAGGTTTGGGGGGCTGTGGTGGGCGCAGCCCATGTGGGCGCTCGGCATGCGTTTTCAGATCTTGTTCTGAGAAATAGCTTGTGCTTAAGAGATTTGACTGAAAATTCCTGTCTCTGATTGCTCTTAAATGACAAATAAGGAAAGGTTTTTGAAAGAAATGTAATTGAACAATTTCCTTCTGAAATAGATGTGTGCCAAGAGACAAAAGCTGTGAGCAAAGCAGATGCCTAAGAATCTGAAGGTGGAATTTTTACTCTTTATCTGTTTTATTGTGAGAAAATATTTGGTTTGGGTTCCTTGAGCTGCTAAACAGGCTTAAGAAAAAAATGGAGTAATTGAAGCAAGGATTGCTTTTTTTTTTTTTTTAATGAAGGGTGAAGTACAACTACTTTTCTGAGATGCTTGAAGCAGAATCCAGTTGAGACACAAGTGTCAGACTGTAAGGATGCAGTCGTAAGGGCTTGCCAGAGACCTTTTGTAAAATGCTGTGGAGCGGTTTGCTTGCTTGTTGCACATGGAGTGGAGATGTGGGTTCCTGAACCTTCACATGTCAAATACAGTAACCAACATCCAATCTAATATGCACTTATTCTCACTAACATGAAAGATCCCTCCTTTACTGGCATAAGGTGCCTTCATGTGAATGAGAAACAGGGCCTCCAGCTATTTGCATGTCATAAATATCTTGTAAAGATATGTTAAATTTTATTTTACTATGGGTGTGATTTGGGCAAGTTTCCATGCCCTGCAGTGTAGGATATGTTCACTAGATGAGGAGAAGGGGGGGGAGGAAAAAAAAAACAACCAGAATCAACCCACAACCCCTCCCAAACCATCCCCCATCCCAAAGTGAAATGGCCCTGTTTCAAACAAATATGTTAATTCCTCTAAGGCACATTTTCAGACTTGTCTCTTATTGATGTTGTTCTACAAGAGGATGTGGTTGGAAGATAGCTTACTGTTATTAGCTAATATTTTTAACTTCACAGTTAGTGGTGAGTTTTCAAAGCACTGAATGGGGATTTAGTCTGAGTTTAGTCTCTGCATGCAGCTTTGATATAATAATTCTTTGTGTGCTTAATTTCACTGTGGTAGAGCAAAATCACTGCAGTGCAGAATTGACCATGTAGTGCCAGCCAAGGACTCCTGCTG